GGGACAAGGACAACTTTTTTAAGTTCTGACTTGTTTTTCAAAATTCCAGTAACCCACTCTACATGTTGATTCTTTTGACCGCCTGCTTCTCCTTCTCGTGTCTGGCACTCCTTTTATTATTCCCAACCCTGTGTTGCTGACTGACTAAAGCCGCAACTGACTGAAACACTTCCCTCAGAGCAGTGAGCTCACCTACTTTTATAGCCCTCTCTTCCAGCTCTACCTCAGTGAAGCCTTTTCCATCATTTCATCCTCTTCTGCTCTGAGGGTCATGAGTTGTCTCAAAGTTCCACTGCATTTTGGCCAAAGCTCTTTGCCTTAACAGCTCCCCATATCTGTACTTACCTCTTCTTTACCATCTGTTTCCTCAATGTCTCCTTGCTTCAATATATTCCTTTATAATGCTGTCTGATTTCTCTTCCTAAACCTCCTCTTTAATGATGCCATTTTTCCACTGAAAGCCTTCTTTGGTTTTCCATTGCATTCTGAATAAATTAAAAACTTTTTAGCCGAAATGTTCTGATCTTCTCAAATTAAATTGCTGTTTACCTTTTCCTGCTTATTTTCCATTATTCACAGACACATTGATCTACCCAACATCCTGCCTAGTTGTCTTATTTTTTCTCACTTGCATACCTTAGATACATACTACCTCTCCAGCCACCTCAATTGACCCCTTTCTTCAAATGCCTAAAACTTTTAAATAGAATTAATTTCCCCCTTTTAAAAATTAACCTCTCCATCATTTCAAACTTTAACTTTTTATCCTTTTTCCTCATAATTTCATGGTCTACTCTTTCAAAAGGTAACCTGATGCATGAAGCAGGAAACTTGTGAAGAAATGGGAGCACACACAGATATATCTGTTAATAGGAATATATCTGAAGGAGTCAAGGGCGGAAAAAGATAATGAACCAACTGGAATTTGAAAAAGCAGTATGGTAATGTCGCAAGGACAAGACAACATAAATGTGATGATTGCAGGAAAATGCTGAATATGAAGCCTGAGGTCCTCCCCGATAATCCACAATGGAGATAAGTCTCATCCGTGTACTGAATGTGGAAAAACCTTTATCAGATTTGTAAAATGTACACAACACCAATGGCTTCACGGCAAGGAAAAGCTTTATCAATACGAGTGTGTGCAAAGCCTTCAGGCAGAAGATCGGTCTTAGCACCTCAGAATCCACGCTAGAGAGAAATCTTTTGAGTATTTTGAGTGTGGGCAGCTGGAAATCAGATCTCAATAATCATGAAAGTCCACTCCAAAGAAAAGCCCTATAAATACAAACAATGTAGGAAGACCTCAGAGAGCAACACCTATCCATATCAGAGAAGCCACATTGTTGGGTGATTGGGATGAAACCTGTGGTAGAAGCTCAGACCAGAGAATCCACTACAATTGAAAACCAACTTGATGAGATGTTTGGGACAACTTCTGTTAGAATCCAGGCTTTTGTCAACATGAGAATTCTTCACTGAGAGATAAAATGTTCTTTGATCTTCATTATTTAATGAACATCAGTGATGCAACATGAAAGAGTGATTCCATGAAGATTAACTACTGGAAAATCTGAAAATTTAGAAAAACGTATATACATAAAGAATGTTTTACATGTAACCTCATTTGGTAGAAAAAAGATAATGCAATTAAAAAGGGGCCCTGAAGCCGCTATTAAAGAAAATTCGAGTTTTTTTCCTTTGAAATTCCTTAGAATTCTTTCCCTCTTTGACATAGCCTAGTATTAAAATTACTTGTGTTCCTTGATCATCAGTTAAGGGCTTTGGTCTGTTAGGTGAATTGCCTCTGTTTCCCTCTCATTCTCAGAACCTGACCCAGCCTCTTTTTTTTTTTTGGCTGAGGACGATTTGCCGTGAGCTAACTAACATCCATGCCAGTCTTCCTCGATGTTTTAGTATGTGGGCCACCAGCACAGCATGGCCACTAACAGAGTGGTGTGGGTCCGTCCATGCCTGGGAACCAAACCTGGGCCACTGAAGTGGAGAGCTCTCAACTTACCCACTATGCCACCGGGGCTGGCCCCCAAGCCTCTTATCAAAAGATACGTAGTGGGTAGGTTGCAGCCCTTTCCTAATCTCAACTTTAGCATTACAATCACCTGACATAATGGCACACCTTGTATTCTGTGATGTTTAAGGTCTCATCTTCTTTTCTTCTTCCCTTGTCCTTTATGTGTAGATGGTCCCCTCCCATGCACCCAAGAGTCCATCTGACTGCTCTACATTCTTGATGATTCTATTCACTTCCTTATTTTCCTCTCTTACCTTTATATAAATTACACCTGCGTTTACATGCATTTACCTCTTCCCAATTACCAATTGTGTGTTTGTAAATGTTTATAAATGTCTGGTAGAAATGTCCACTAGGATGTCCTGCTGGTACCTCAAACTCACTCTCTGAAAATTTTTATCCCCTCCCCCTCCACCACTACCAACCTCCATAGAAACAGACCCACAGCCAATAGGAGGTACAGGAAATTGGAGAGGGAAGAGAATGAGGTCACAGCAGATCTTCCTCTAGCTGCCTCCCTCCAGGGTTGCTTTAGGTTGGCTGTATTCCTCTCATAAGTCTGTCAAGTAGCCATATCCTTTAATTACAGCTTTAGCTCTTATCTCTAGGTTCCAGGAACTGCTTCCTCCCCTGATACCTTCATACGGGTCTCAAAGCTGGACAGGAGAATTTGGCTGATACATCTATGAATAATCCTTTAACTAGCCTTGTGCCTCAGAATAATATCTGCTTTTCGTTAGCTAAAGAGAAGAGGACATGATAGTTTGGATTACTGTGCAGCAAATAGTCATTTCCCTTCCTTCCCTATGGCAAGAGTATAGTTCCCTCCTGGTTGGTATTGGGCTTGGGCATGTACCTTGTTTTGCCCAGTGGAATGTTAGTGAAATAAGGTAAGCAAAGGCCTTAAATGCTTAGATTTATATTGTGTCAACTTACCTAAGCCAGAACTATATTGCCAAGAATCCTTTTCCTTGCATAGCTCCTTATTAGTGCAGGTCACAAGAGACATTTGAGATTTGGAAGGCAGAAATGAAGGAGTTGCCGTATTCCTTTAGGCTCAGGAGGTCAGTGCAGGACATGAAGCATTGTTACAGCTCACACATTGATGATCTACTGGCTCATCTGCTGCATCTTCAAGCTTCAGCTTCTCTGATTCCCGGGCCAGGCACTTGTTTAGTTCCATGAAGAGCCCCACATTTTCCTGTCAGACACACCCATAATCAAAGTTGGAGAACTGGAGGTGAAGAGAGACTGACATGTGTTCTAACTTGCAGCTTTTCCTTGTTTCTCCCACTTCACATCCATCTTTCCCTCCTGACTGCCTACTCTGTTGACTTCAGGCTTCCAGCACCAGACACATAAAAACAGCCTTACAGACTGTTTGACCAGCTCTCACAGTTATGTAAGGCCAAATCCCTATAATAAATCCTTTACCATATTTATCCACTAGTGGTTCTGCTTCTCTGATCAAACCCTAACTGATAACACCTTGGATATTGTGCTCCACCAAGAGAAGAGTTTGCCCTAAGTTGCTGCTGTGGCTTTATCTTGGTGCTCGGAACACAAGTGGGGCAGAAGGGAGCCTACCTTGTAGCCCAGAGTCAAGCCCAATCTACGTGAAGCCTTAAGCCCAACTACCCAGCCTATCCTGATCTATCCTAGATCAGCAGAAGCAGATCTAGGCACACAAGAAAAAATACTTGTAAGCCCCTGAATTTTAGTGCGGTTTGTTACACAGCAGTATTGTGGCAACAGCTGACTAATACAGGAAATGCTTTTTATCTCTGCCATTTGTTAATTAGCAGATCAGCATTCTCCAGGCTAAGCAATGGGATTTCATTAGGTGGGACCTAGAGATAAGAGAGGTCTGAGAAGTTAAACAAACGTACAAAAACATACTTCCAATTGTAAAAAAGAAAAAAAAATTTTTACAATATTTACAGGAGAGTATATAAGATCCTAGCTTCTGACACTTAAAGGTTAGAATATAGTGGAGTCATTGGGCTAAATAAGCACAGGAAACAGAAACCTTATTAAGACCTACCTTCTCTCATTGAAGCCCTCAAAACCTTTGTTGGGAGGGGGCAAAAAGGGGAGGAGAGAACAAGCCTTCTGGCCACCATTTGCAACATTACAAGCAAACAACCTGAGAGAAGTTACACTGACGAGATCTGAAAGTCTAGCTATCGTGCTCCTTCCTTAGAGGAAGAGGGTTCTCGGCACAGGACACAGGAGATGAAGGCGCCCAGGAGAAAGGCAGTGAAAAGACAAACAGGTTAGTGATGCTGACCGCAAACGGCCCCCCTCCCGGGAGCGCCCTTATGGAAGAGAGCAATCATTTTTTATCTGTTATCAAGCACTCCTCCAATACATTTTCCGTTAAGCGATCCTGCCGAGTTTGCAAAAGGCGAGAGTCTGAGACTTTCTTTTTAATTGCAGAGATGCAGGAACCGACTTTAGCTTTATCTGTCACCTCATTTACTGCTTCCACGGCTTCTCGTCCCGACCCGCTCAAATTTGAAACGTAGCGTAACCGCCCGGCAGATGGTTACGGAGACGCCGGGCACGCGGACGGAGGCGGAGCGCGGCCGCGCGCTCGGGGGCGAGATCCCCGGGAGGCGCCGGATGCCGGGCGCGCGACTGAGCCGCGGGTTCCGGGGGCAGCGAGCCTGTGCCCCCGCTAGGTGAGCGCGCCTGCGCGTCCTGCAAGCCTCGGTCTCGGCTTTGACCTTCAGAGCCCGGGAGTGGGAGGTCCTGCGGCGCTCCTGACCTGCTGAGCCGCATGGGCGAGCCGGCACCGGTCCCGGTTCAGGCCGAAGGATGCTCGGCGCCCTGAGAGGCACGGGGCTGCGCCCCTGGGGGCAGGCGTCTGTCTTGGAGGCTTCAGGAAGGCCCAGCCGCAAGTCCCCACAGACAGGACCCTGTCCTTGAACTGGGGATCCCCTTCTTGGGAACCTTGCTTCCGACTCTCGGACGAAACCTGGGCCGCTGGCGCTGTGTGAATCTGAGTGGAATTTCTCTCTCCGTTTTGCCAAATTAACATGAAAACAGGTCAATGCTTTTCTGACTGTGATTCGTGACTTTTTCTCTCTCCCAAGCGGGGTCGTATGTACTCAAGTGTGGGAAAACCCTGTGCTAACAGATAAGTCTTGAAAATTTTTGCTTTAGTCTAGGGCCCACATACACGTACTTAATGTTGGATTTGGAGCAATCTTCCTTTAAGCTCAAATCGTGGAAGCTTAAGCCTTTCCGTTAAGCTCATGACCCCGCCTTCCTCCCTCCATAATGTATTTTTACTTATCACCATCTAACATACTATATACTTTTCATATTTTTTCTGTTTATTGATTACCCCTACTGGAATGGATGCTCCATGATGGCAGGGATCTTTGCTTTGTTCATTAATGTATTTCAAACACCTAGAACAGTTTCTGTACAAGGTAGACCTCTAGTAAATATTTGTGGATTTAATGAATGAATAAAATTAGTTACACTGATTACAGGTCTTCTTTCTTGTGTGGGTTCTTCACAGTATTTGCCATTTATCCCCTTATCACATAATTCTTATTCCCCAGGGTGCCCTCAGAAGCCTCCAGTTGAAACTCCAGCAGAAGCCAGGTAGGATGGCTGTGGACACAAGAAAGTCTGCCAGCCAGCTGTTCCAAGCCTCATGGGGTCAGCAGGGACCTGTGATGGTGAAGGTGAAGTTGGAGGAGGACTGCCCTAGGAATCAGGGCCTCAGCCTTCCAGAGGACCAGCTCCCTCCCTGGGAGATCTTCAGGCAGCAGTTCAGACAATTCTGCTACCAGGATTCCCCTGGACCACGTATGGCCCTGAGCCGGCTCCGGGAGCTCTGCCGTCAGTGGCTCAGGCCGGAGACACATACCAAGGAGCAGATCCTGGAGCTGCTGGTGCTGGAGCAGTTCCTGACCATCCTGCCCAAGGAGCTCCAGGCCTGGGTGCAGGAGCATCATCCAGAAAGCGGGGAGGAGGCAGTGACGATACTGGAGGATCTGGAAAGAAAGAGAAATGTACATGTCGGAGGAGACTGGTCTGATATGGTTGTGGGGGAGCTGGAAGCAAAACTTTCTCAAGGGTGGAGGCTCTGAGGGAACAATGGGAAAGCCCAGCATTCAGCAGGCAACTGAGCTTGTTGCTAAGCCAGCCCTGTAAGGAGGGGAGGGGTGGGAAACAGCAGATTCAGGGATGGTGAGTAAAGATACTGAAGGCATTCTGTGAGCATTGTGCTCCTTATTTTACAGGTCACTCAACATTTACAGCAACTAAGAAGTAGGTCATATCACACATGGAAACTAAGTTCAGAGAGGTTGTATAACTTGGCCGAGGACGCGTAGTCAATAAGTGAAGTGACAGAAACAAGGTTTGATTAAACTTTGCTTTGCTTACCTTTCTGGCTGCTTCTAAGTACCCCAGGAGGTAAATAAGGCCCTGGTTTCTCTCTTCTTCCTCCTAGTCTCCGGGGATATTTCTTGTGGACTCCTCTCTGAGGTTTAGTCCCTGTTAAATTCACCATATCCTTACAGGCTTAATGAGTGCTGCTTGTCTCTAGGTTTCAGCCTGTGCTCTGGAACAGAAAATCCTTTTGCAGACGATGACCCTTGAGACCCTAGAGGAAGAGTCTTCATACAGCTGGGTTCAGCCCCCGGCGATCCAGTTCAAGGGCAAAGGACCTGAGCCCCAAACATCAGAAGAAAGAGGTGAGGCAAGAATTTCTCTAGGGAATTTGGACTGAAATGAACTCTAAATTGGTTTTTTTGTGGAGTGTGACATGTTAATTCCTTGTAATGAGGTTTATTAAAGGACATGACAGGTGACATTCTAGGCAGTAATAGTTAAAAGGTAATAGATCATCTCAGAATAGCCTCAGTAGTGTGGTCGGTTTTAAATATCCATAGTTGAATTTTCTGCATATAGTCTAGTAGCAAATATTACTTGCACGTATTTTGATGCTTACATTCTTTGGTAGACCCTGATAGAATATTAACACTGTAAAACTATATTGATTTTTTTGAAAGTTATCTTTTATTATTATCAAAGAAGTATATATGTGTTGTAGAAAGTTAGAAGATACAGAGTCACAAAATAAGAAAATAAAACACAATATTCTATCACCCAGAGATTACAATTGATGACTTTTTATTTTATATATGTATATCTTTTTTTAGTGCATATATATTTATATGTGTATATATACATGTATACACACACAAATATCTTTTACCAAAAAGAGATCCTACTCTATGTGCTATTTTATAACCTATTTTATTCAGTTAATAATTTCCCTATTCCCTGTCAATACATTTTAATGTTTCTAAACTCAATCCAAATTCAAACTGGCCTGTTTTTCCCAAATTGTCTTTAAAGCTGATTTGTCCAAACCAGGATAGAATCCAGGGCCACATGATACATCTGGTTATTATGCCTTTTAATTCTTTTTTACTTTAGAACAGTCCCCCTCACCCATTTTTTCCCATAGCACAGACTTTTTGACGAGCCCAGGCCAGTTTCCCACTCTCTGGAGTTTTCTGGTTGCTTCCTCATTGTGTCATTTACTTTGCTGCCCATGTACCCTATATTTCCTATAAACTGGAAGTTAGATCTAAAGGCTTGAAGGATTCAAGTTACAGATTTTGGGCTAGAATTAGTATCAGGTAATAGGAGACATTAATACTGGCTGACCTACTCTTAAATCACTGGCTTAGGATAACAGTGTGATCCTTCCATTGAACAGATATTTTTTCCCCTGGTAACTAACTGTGTGGTGTCACTTTGGCACTTTGTGAATGGCCATCAACAAAATAAAAATATTTGATAATCCTTGTATGGGTCAACCATTTTGTTAAGGGCTGCAGAATGATTTTATAATTCTTTCATTCCTTCTATGTTATTAACTGGTGTTCTTTATCATGAAGCTTTCCCTCATCAAATATGTCTATTTGGTCACTTCCTTCTAGGCAGTCATGAGTGATGCTTACTTTTTCCCCCTTTATTTACCAATGTTCAAATTCAAAGAGTGGTTTAATGGGCACCTCAAATGGCATCATGAGATTTTAGGACTTTCTCTGTGTAGTATCATTATGGACTTTTTAGGAATTTTCATTGAATCAGTGTGTTTCAAATCACCACAGTTATTACTCTTTTTATTTATTTATTTTTTTGGTAAGGAAGATTGGCCCTGAGCTAATATCTGTGCCAGTCTTCCTCTATTTTGTGTGTGGGACTTGGCCACAGCATGGCTTGATGAGCAGTGTGTAAAGGTCCGTGCCTGGGATCTGAACCCGTGAATCCTGGGCTGCCGAAGTGGAGCATGCGAACTTAACCACTATGCCACCAGGCTGTTCCCCAGTTATTACTCTTTTGAATGTTCAAATATGCACGTCTTTGGCTTGAGTGGATATCTTCAGTCTTGCTCCTGTCTGTTTGCCATGACCCTTTTAATTTTGAATGCTTTTTTAAAATTTTTTTTTATTTTTATTGAGCTATAGTCAACATAACGTTATATTAGTTTCAGATAATGCTTTCTTTTTGACAAAATAAATTATTCCAGGCTCCCCTTGTACCTTCCCTATACCCAGATTTGGTATCAAGCATTTCTGAGCCTTGGTTCTTTTTAATGGAGAATAAAATCTAGGTGCCAGGAATGTTTTTTATCATTAGGGTAGCACTGCTTCTAGGACATTTCATGGGCAGAGCTAGATGTACATTTTTTTTCTAAAAAACATGACTTCATATTGATGTATTCAATTCCATTTTACCATCACAATGTTCGATTATTTTTCTATATTGTATTTTCTTTCTGCATTTATTTTTGTTAATTCTTTTCTTCTGTTCTCCTTTGGTTTATTTATTTATTTATTTATTTTAGGTTATAGTAGTTTGTATCAGAGGTGATCCCAGGAAGCATAAGAAGGGGGAATTGAGACAGGACAGAGAGAAAAGCCAATAAAGTGTATGTAAATGAGCAAGCTATCTTGATCTATTTAGTTGTTTTAGCTTCTGAGCTGGATTGATTCATACATTTTCATTCTTCCTCTATTACTGATGTAAATATTTGATGCTGTGGATGTTTCATTGAACACTGGTTTAGATGAATCTCAAATGTTTTGAAAAATGGTGTTTTCGTTATTGTGTTTTAGAAAATCTGAAATTTGTTTGTATTTTGTCTTTGAACCAATAATTGAAAGTTTTAAATTTTTCAGATGGAAGGGCTTGTTTGTTTTCTGATTTTGTTATTAATTTTAGATTTATTGCATTGTGATCAGAGAATATTTGTGTTATTTATACCTTGTAGAATTTATTGTGGTTTTCCTGTGACCCAATAAATAGTCAGTTTTCATTAATGTTCACTGCACATCTGAAAAGATGTTCTATTTTCAGGATACAGAACTTGATATACATATACATCCATAAGATTTAATTTATTGGTTTCGTTTAGTAAATCATCTGTATCTTTATTTTTTGTTCATTTGGTGTTTTTTTAGACAGAGAGAGGACAATTAAAGTCTACTATTTTTGTCTGTTTATTTTTATATCACCTATAATTTCTGCTTTAGGAAAGTTGCTCCTTTATTATTTTCTGCACAATTATTCATATCTGTTAAATCTTCATTGTAAATTGTATTATTTATTTTAGCATTAAAAAGTCCTCTTTTTCATTTCATTTCATACTTTTGGCCTGACTCCTACCTTGTTCTGAAACTGAGATCTTGATGCCTTCTTTCTTTTTATTTACATTTGTTTAATTTACCCTTGTTCATTCTTTATTCTTAACTTTTCTCATCATTTTATTTTAGATGTGTCTCTTGTATACGTAATAGAGTTGAGTTTTGCTCTGTGATTATATCTTATTTTTTTCTTTTAATAGGTAAGTTAATCCATTTGCATTTATTGATATGACTCATATGACAGTTACATTTTATCTTAATATAAATTCCTTATGTTTTCTGTTTTACATGTCATAGATACATATACAAATGTGTAAATGTTAAGTACAAACATATATACACATACACATACATGTATGTGTATGTGTACAATATGTATTTACATATACATATATATATGCTTTTCAACGTGTGGTTTGTTTTCCCTCATCCTCTTTTTTTTTTTTTTTTTTTTTGGTGAGGAAGATTAGCCCTAAGCTAGCATCTGTGCCCATCTTCCTCCACTTTATATGTGGGATGCCTGCCACAGCATGGCTTCAGAAGCGGTGTATAGGTCCACACCTGGGATCTGAACTCATGAACCCCGGGCTGCTGAAGCAGACCATGTGACCTTACGCCACCAGGCTGGCCCCATCCCTCATCCTTTCTTTTTAATCGTAGTAGTTCTCATAGTTAGGAAGCTTTGTATTTTTGTAGTACTGGTATATTAGTTATCAATTGCTGCTTAATAAATTACCACAAAATTAGTGGCTTAAAACAACACACATTTATTATCTCATAGTTTCTGTGAGTCAGGAGTCTGGGTTGGCTTAGCTGAGCCCTCTACTTCAGGGTCTCTCACAAGGTTGCAGTCAAGCACCAGGGCTGGGGTTGCATCTGAGTTGTGACTGGGGAAGGATCCACTTCCACCCTCACATGGATGTTGGCAGTACTCAGTTCTTTACAGGCTGTTAGACAGAGGGCCTCAGTCCTTTGCTGGCTGGTGACCAGAGGCCACCTTCAGTTTCTTGCCACATGGGATTCATACGGTGGCTTTCTTCATCACAGCCAGCAAGCCAACAGGGAAGGTGTCAACAGACAGTCCACTAGCAAGATGCCGTCTACAATCTTATGTAATCACAGAAGTGACATCCTGTCAACTTTGCCATAGTCTATTGATAACTCAGCCATGCTTTATTCTTTCTCACTTCCACACCTCTGTTACTGCCATTCCTTCTACCTTAACTGACATATTTCTCTGAACCCATAATACTAAATAAAGAGAAGATATAATATTCTGTTAAAATTACCCTAAAATAAAAATTAACCTTTCCAGCTGTCTATCTCTTAAATTATTTTTGAGTGTGTTTTCTCCTCAAATTGTATGGTCTGTTGTTTCAGATGGTGGTGTGAGGACTGAGAACATGACATTAGACACGAAGCAGGAACTTTGTGAAGAAACAGAAAGACATAGGGAGGGGTCTGATGGACATCATGAAACTGTGTCTCAGCCCACCAAATACAGAGGAGACAGTGAACCTACTGGAAGTTTGGAAATGCAGGATGGGGATGCCACAAGTGAAAAAAAATATAAATGTGATGAATGTAGGAAAACCTTCATGTGTATCAGAGGCCTTCAGATGCATAGGAGGATCCACACTGGAGAGAAACTGTACCCATGCACAGAATGTGGAAAGGCCTTTATCAGACGTGCAGAACTTAGCCAGCATCAGGGGCTTCACAGCAAGGAAAAGCCCTATCAATGTAAAGAGTGTGGCAAAGGCTTCAGTCAGAAGGCAGGCCTCTTCCAACATCTGAAAATCCACACTGGAGAAAAGCCCCATCGATGTAGTAAATGTGGCAGATGTTTTAGTCGGAGATCACTTCTCACAAAGCATCAGAGTCTCCACACTGGAGAGAAACCTTTTGACTGTGTGGACTGTGGGAAATCTTTCTGCCACAATTCAGACCTCATTGAACATCAGGGATTCCACAACAGAGAGAAACCTTATGAGTGTAATTTATGTGGGAAAGCCTTCAGGCAGCGTGCACATCTTGTTGAGCATCAGCGAATTCACAGTGAAGAAAAACCCTATGAATGTAAAGTATGTGGAAAAGCATTCACTCAGTATGCAGGACTTAACCAACACCAGAGAATCCACACTGGAGAGAAACCTTTTGAATGTCCTATATGTGGACGAGCCTTTAGCCGGAGCTCAGAACTCATAATACATCACAGAATCCACTCAGGGGAAAAACCCTATGAATGTGCCAAGTGTGGAAAAACCTTTAGTGTGAGCTCAACCCTTATCATACATCAGAGGAGTCACACTGGGGAGAAGCCCTATAAATGTGACAAGTGTGGCGAAGCCTTCAGTCAACGCTCAGGCCTTAATAAACACAAGTTAGGAGGGAAGCATGGAAACCCTCCTGAGCCAAGAAAGTATAAGTGTGATGAGTGTGAGAAGACCTTTACTAGGCCTTCTGGCCTGAGGAACCACAAAAGAATTCACACTGGGGATAAGACCTACCAATGTCCTGAGTGTGGGAGGGTCTTCACAAGGGGAGAGCATCTTATTGAACATCAGGGGATTCATGACAAGGTGAAGCCCTATCAATGTAAAGAGTGTGGCAAAGCCTTCAGTCAAAGGACAGGTCTTAGTCACCATCTCAGGATCCACACGGGAGAAAAACCTTTTGTGTGTTCTGAATGTGGGCGAGCCTTCAGCTGGAAGTCAGATCTCAATAAACATAAGAGAGTCCACTCTGAGGAAAAACCTTATCAATGTGAAGAGTGTGGGAAGGCCTATAAGCAGAGAGCAACACTGATCCAACATCAGAGAGGCCACATTGTGCTAAGCCCCGGTGAGGTGACTGGGGTGAAGCCTGCAGTGGAAGCTCAGCCCTGATTAAGCACCAGAGAATCCACCACAACTGGACACCTTGCCTAGATGTTTGGTGATAACTTCAAGTACAATACAGGATTTCTTTTTTTTTCTTTTTTTTTTTAAAGATTTTATTTATTTATTTTTTCCCCCCAAAGCCCCAGTAGATAGTTCTATGTCATAGCTGCACATCCTTCTAGTTGCTGTATGTGGGATTCGGCCTCAGGATGGATGGAGAAGTGGTGCCTCGGTGCGCGCCCGGGATCCGAACCCGGGCCACCAGCATCGGAGCGCGTGCACTTAACCACCAAGCCACGGGGCCGGCCCCAGGATTTCTTTTTGACTGACATAAAAATGTTTCTTGAACTTCATTATTTAAACATCAAAGATGTCACATTGTAGAGTTTTCATAAAGGTCATAAATGCTGGAAAAGTTGAGAATTTAGAAGCATTAACAAGGAATTTACCTGTGATTACCTTTATTAAATGCAATGAAGTGTCAGTTAATACAATGAAAAAGGACACAAGGGCAGCTGTAAAAAAATTATATTTTTCTACTGAATTCATGAGTTTTTGTATGTTGTTTTTTCAGAATATTTTGATTTCTAACTAGCTTTAGCATAGCCTAATGTTGAAATTACTTCTATGAGTACCAGTTGAGGACAGTGGAGTATCTAAGAGCTTGGAATGTATGAGGTGAGTGGTCTCTGTTTCCCTCCCTACTCAACCAAGCCTCTGACCAGGAGTGGGTAGCCTGCAGAACCTTCCTGATCTCCACCCCATAATTAACATTTCCTGGTAAATAAAGAGTGTGTTGTATTCCAAGTGATGAAGAAGGCATGGAGATTTTGGCCCCAAGTAGCTAAAAATCTAGTGGGCCCATCATAGCTATAAAGCCTAGAGCATAAATTTCTCATTGTGAACACTGCTCCTTGAGCTGACAAAGGAGAAGGACAGAAGGGAAGAGGGAAAACCAAGATGTTCATTTCAGCATTTTCACCTCCTACAAATTATATTTACCTGACTAAAACCTCTTTCATCTTCAGCACTACCTATGTCCTCAGTCAATGATGTGAGGGATTGCTAAAGCTGATAATAGTTTTCAAATAGTAGGAGAATATTTCCTCATTTTTTTGTGCTATCCACAATGTAACAGTTATAGATGTAACACCCTTTTAAGTTTAATCTTCATTGTTAACATTTTCTTCAACACTTGCTTAAATCCGGACGGCCAGCGAATAAACTCGGCTCCTCCTTTCCTCTGATTGATGTTTGCATGATGTATCTTTTTCCATCTGTTTACTTTCAATGTACTTATATCATTAAATTTGAAATAAGTTTCTTGTAGACAGCATATACTTGGGTGATGTTTTTAAATTCACACTGCCAATCTTTGTCTTTTAGTTGGTGCATTTAGACAATTTCTGTTGAATGTATTATTGCTATTTTAAGGCTTAAGTCTGCCATTTATTTGTTGTTTGTTTGCTCTCTGTGTTGCATTTCGCTGGTTTCTTTTTCCTGCCTTCCTGTGGGTTACTTATACCTGTTTTTAGAAGTCCATTTTGATTTATATATAATGTTTCTGAATGTATCTCTTTATATGGCATCATTGTCCTTGATAAAAGCTGTTATTTTGAATTGGCTTTCAACCCACATACACTCTACACAATTCTCTCCAAGAAATACATAGTTTTTGTTAACCTTGATTTGAGAATGACCCTGGACAGTAGTACAATCATTCTAAAAATATGTGGGGAGTTAAACTTGGTTTGATACTTATCAAAGTCTGTGTTTGTTAGTTTTCTCTGTTACCTGTTATGTCTTATGCCTCAGGAGAGTCACTGATGAGACCCAGCAGAGGGAGCCCTGCTACTTGAGGTAAGAATGGCTGAGAGCAGGAATCTTTGTTTTATTCACTAGTATATCTCGGCACTTCAAACAGTACCTGACATGTATTAGTTGTTCCATAAATACTGAATGAATGAAGGAAAGGAGATTCCTGGGCCTTGTGCAGCTCTGAGTTAATTATTAGTGGCTGAGGCCAGAGACACACATCAAGGAGCTGATCCTGGAGCTGCTGGTGATTAAGTTCTTCCTGACCATCCTGCCTAAAAGAGCTATAGGACTAAATTCAAAAACATAATCCAGGGAAAATGATACCTTTGCTGTAGAGAAATCTGGTAGACAACACCTTAACCAAGTAATCAAACAACGTAGCTAGTAATGGAACAAACTGATATCATATGGTTCCTGATATGATTGCTTCACTGAAAAGGACACATCATCTCTTGTGTAGTATTGCTGGAAAAAATGTATAACCTGAATCTAATCAAGAGGAAACCTCAGACAAACCAAATTTGGGGGCAGGGAGGAGTTCAATAGAACAACTGGCCTATGCTCCTCAAAAATATCAACATTATGAAAGACAAAGAAATGTTGACGAATTGTTTTAGGTTAAAGGAGATTAAAGAAAAACAACAACTAAATTCAATGTGTGAGCCTAGGTTGGATCCTAGGTTGGAGTGATTTATATAAAGGACATTATTGGGACAATTGGCATAATTTAAGCATGGACTATACATTCAATTAATAGTATTGCATAAGTGTTCAGTTCCCTGAGTCAATAATTGTATTGTGGTCACAAAAGAGAATGTTTTTGGAAGATACATGCTGAAGTATTTACGGATGAAGAATCATGGTACTACAACACACTTTCAAGTGTTTTAGTGGTTTAGCAAATAATAATAGCAGTAGTAAAATATATATGGAGGAGAAAACAAAACTGGCAAGCAATGATAGGTGAATCTAGGTGAAAGGTATATGTATTCATTATACTGTTCTTACAATTTTTTCTAAGTGAAGGTTGGAAATAAAAGCAATGCCTCCAACAAAAACAAACCCAAAGAGTGAATATGAGGTATTGGTTTTTATAGGAGAATTTGTGGAGAGTGTGTTATAAACCAGAACATCTTGTAGAAGCAGGGAGATATGTTATATCAGTATAGGAAAGGTTGGAATGTACTCTGGACCAGTACTAGTCCTTTTTATATCCTGGGTTGTATTGACAGCTGGACTATAATACTTAAAATTGTTCACGTTTAAGGATGGTTTTTCTCGTTAGATTTCTTTTTTCAAGAGAGGTCAATTTGCCCTGATTGTAACATCTACATTTTCTACTGGGTGATTATCAGGCTCCTTTCCAGACTCAGGACTCCTCTAAGATTAACTCATCCACCACTTACCTAACTCTTAGACATTGAAATTCTTGTAACTACAGTTCTACCTTGCTAGGCATAATCATTAAATAATGCAGTTTTAGCACTGGAAGGAATCTAAAAACTTACTCATTCCTTCCTCAAACCTTTGTCAAGTGCCAACCCTGTGCCAAGCATACACAGGAATATGATACAAAAAATAAGTTTCGTACATGCATATGCAAAATGGATATACCTCCAAGATGAAAAGTGTGTTCCCGAAAAGAATCTTTCCTCTTTTTTGTTACTTGGTTCATTGTTGCTAATACATTTGTGATACTCAGTGCAGAAGCTTGATTTGCAGCAGGTTTCAGACCACTGCTCCTGACTTCTACTGGATTTATGGAATTTATAAGGCAACATAATTGCCTGTCACTAGCAAGAAAAACTGGCCCAGCTATGGTAAGAATATTGGTGAATTTAAGTCTCCCTTAGGCCATCTAGTCTGCTAATTTGTCATTCTGTCACTTTTCTGCTCTACTCCCTTTGATCCTCCAAAAATAAGACTCTCTTCATACTTTCTTGGTCATAGAGAATGTTTTCCCGTATCTCTTTTTATAGTTTTTACCTCCTACTTCCATGGTGAATAGAAATATCATTTCTCTTACAGACCAATGATATTTAATTATCTCCAGGTTTCAGCCTATCCATACAATGTTTTCTTAAACGAAATGGCAACTATGGGAGTAATAAAAGTTATTAAATGTGTGTCGGGCCATAAGACCTAATTCAAGTGTGAAGTGCCACAATTCCAACTCTTTTTTTATTGGGATCTATTGACAAATTAGCTTCAGGTCTACAGCATAATGATTCAATATTTGTATATACTGCAAAATGATCACCACAATAAATCTAGTTAATATCATCACCACATATAGTTAAAAAATTTTTTCCTTTTGATGAAAACATTTAAGATCTACTCTCTTAGCAACTTTCAAATATACAATACAGTATTATTAACTATAGTCACCATGCTATATGTTACATCCTCATGACTGACTCATTTTACAACTGGAAGTTTGTACCTTTTCACCACCTTCGCCTATTTCACTTCCCCCACCCCACCCCACAACTGCCAGTCTGTTGTCTGTATCTGAGTTCAGTTTGTTGTTTTAGATTCCACATAGAAGTGAGGTCATACAGTATTTGTCTTTCTCTATCTGACTTATTTCACTTAGCGTAATGCCCTCAAGGTCCATCAGTGTTGTTGCAAACAAGAAGATTTCCTTCTTTTTTATGGTGGAATGATATTTCATTATGTATATACCACATTTTCTTTATCCATTCATCCATCAATGGACATTTAGGTTGCTTCCATGGCTTAGCTATTGTAAATAATGCTGCAATGAACATGGGAGTGAAGATATCTTTTCAAGTTAGTGTTCTCATTCTCTTTGGGTAAATACCCAGAAGTGGAATTGCTGGATCATATGGTAGTTCTGTCTTTACTTTTTTGAGAAACTTCCATAGTTTTCCATAGTGGCTGCACCAATTTACATTTCCACCAACAGTGCACAAGGAGTCCCTTTTTTCCACATCCTTGCCAACACTTGTTATTTCTTGTCTTTTTGGTGATAGCCATTCAAACAGGTGTGAGGTAATATCCGTGGTTTTAATTTGCATTTCCTTGATGATTAGTGATGTTGAGCATCTTTTTATGTACCTATTGGCCTTTTTATGTATGTCTTCTCTGGAAAACTCGATCCTCTGTCCATTTTTTAGTCAGATTGGTTTTTGTTTTGTTTGCTATTGAGTTGTATGTGTTCTTTA